ATTTAAAACTAAAATGTGATCATGTCTCCATCTTTATCCTCCACTTGACATTTAAACAAACAAATCATAATCCCTGTACATTAAGGAGGCCCTTTGTACCACTTTGACCCATCTTATCATACCTCATCAACTCTTTACAGAGGGATTCTGTTATTCTCATTTTGCAGATGAAGACACTGAGGTCACAGAGATTTAGTAATTAGCCCAAGTTTTCCCTGAGTAATGAAGCCAGGATTAGTTCCTATGTCTGGTTAAATCTAAAAGCAGCCTTTTCCACCTCTGGGAAAAGTGATTCCTTCTAGGAAAAGAATTCTGAAACATTTTACATCCTTTGACCTTTTATCTTCCTGCAAAATTTAACCCAGAACAATTCAATATTTTCTGAGTTTTAGATTCATCTCTTGTCAATACAAGCCAGTGTGCACCGAGAATAGCAGGCAGTGGGAACACTCCTAAGTTCTTGCACCATACCTAAGTGTTGACTCTGCCAAGCATGAACAAGGGCTCCACAACCTTAAGACAACTTGGAAGCCAGGCATGGTGATGCACACCTGTAACCCCAGCAATGCAGGATCCTGAGGAAGGAAGAACACAAAGCTTGAGGCCAGCCTCACCAAGTTAGCGAGACCCTGTCTCAAAAATAAAAACGGCTGGGGATGTAGCTCAGTGGTAGGGTGCCCCCAATTTAATCCCCAGTATTACCATGAAAATAAATAAATAAATAATAACTTGGAAAACCAACTCCACATTAGCCTAAATTTTTCTTTTCTTTCCCAGAGAACCTTCAAAGATTTTCAATGTCAGGGACCCTCTGAGATAGAGGATTCAAGGGGAAACATTCTTGGGAGTACAGATGTTTCCACCTCTGAACAGGATTTTCAATAGGAAGCACTGGGTCAGAAAGCCTAGAGAATAATGATTGGGAATAGAATGAGAGTTGAAAAGCAGGAGTCCTGTAGCTCTGTGGCACAGCACTTGCCTAGAGTGAGGGTGAAAGTGCAGAGGTCAGTGTGACCAGGTGAACTGGGGCTGCAGTCAAGGAAGATGGCCCTGGACGAGGTCCAGGTTCCAGGAAGCAAGTCCTCCTAATGGTTCTGAGTCTCTTGTGTTTTTTTGTTTTTGTTTTTGTTTGTTTTTTCGCTATGTCACCCAAGCTGGTCTAGAACTTGTGAAACCAAGTTATCTTCCTGCTTCAGCCTTGCAAATGGCTGGGACTATGTCTGGCTAAAATAGATTTTTTAAGTGTCAGGCTATGGCAAAAGAAATGTAAGCTTTCGTTATTTTGTTTTTGTGAGTGACCTAATCGCCTATTTTTCATTATTACTAGTGTGTGGGGGTGCTGGGGATAGCTAGCTAGATAAGTGCTCCCCCACTGACCCACACCCCCCGCCCTGCAATGCTGTTGTTCATTCTTAGGCAAACTCTCTTCTCCTGCATCCGTTTGGTTTTCCAACCCCCTGCCCTTTGCTTTCTGCTTCCTTCTTTCCCTTCTGCTTATGAAGCAATGTTCTGGAGTGAGCACAAAGAACATGGAGCCTGGTTTCCCTTAGAGTCTGAATCTCTTAGTTGTGAGATACTGGACAGACTGCTGAACCGGTCTGAGCTTCAGTTCCTTCATTTGCTAAGTAATAACATCTACCTCTCTGGATTTCAGGGAGTTAAACAAGAGGCAAATTCTCACTGCAATTCCTGGCAAGGAGAAAGTACTTGGGAAATGGCATTTCCTTTTGCACCTGGGAAAAAAACCTACTCTAAGGCTTACAACGAATTGTCTTTCTCTTAATTCAAATAACACCATGCCAAGACACCCTTATCAAAGGAGGCAAGGCTCAGCCCTTTGTCAAGAGCCACAGTATAATAATAGCTACTCAAGTATATAACATTTAGAATGATACATTAATTACCACCTCCAATCATCACAACTATGTTAAAAATGGGGAAGACACATTCATTTTAAATCACCCCACTGCTCAGATTAGGAAACTGAGGTTGGCAGCAGTTGCTTGAAGTTTCTAGTAAGTAGCAGAAACAGATTTTTTGTTTGTTTGTTTGTTTCTGACGATTGCACGCTATTGGAACTATGGCTACTCTTCCTATACTCAGTGAGGGAGCGGGATCAAGGGAACTTCAAAAGATTTATTTAGCTTCTAGTTGTGTTGTTGGGGAAGGGCCAAGAGATTCTGGCTGGAGGTTTTGGACACTTCTCATTTTGGAGGCATGCAAACCCCATCAAAGATGTGTGCCCTGTGAGAAGTGAGGCGTGCTGACCCTGTGAAGTAGGCTTCCAGCTCTGTGACAAACAGGAGCGCAGCAAAATAAAGAGCGAGGGGGCTGGAAGTCAGTGAGATCAAAGTTGGCACCCTGGCGGATGTGGGGTCATGGGCAAGTTGCCTAGCTCTAGACCTCAGGCTGCGGCTGCTGACTATCCTAACTATCAGGAGGATTAAATGAGATAGCACATATGAAAGGGTCTCACTAAATTGCTCAGGCTGGCCTTGAATTTGCAATCCTTTTGCCTCAGCCTTCAGAATGGCTGGGATTAGAGATGTGTGCAAAGGTGCCCGGTAACACACTAATTTTTTATCTACGAATTTTCTTTTCTTTCTTTTTTCTTTTCTTTCAAGTTGCTGGAAATCAAACCCAGGGGCTGGTGCATGCTCTTTATCCCCACTAAGTTTTCAATACACGTTAGTTATTTTTCTTAAAGATTATAGACTAAGGTCTATATGAGGCTTAAATATACAGTGCAGCAGTTATATGCAAAGAGCTCAGAACAGTACCTGGCCACTGAGCCTCATCCCCAGGCCTTTTTATTTTTTATTTTGAGACAGAGTCTGGCTAAGTTGCCCAGGCTGTCCTTGGACTTGGGACCCTCCTGCCTCAGGCTCCTGGGTTGCTAGGATTAAAGGCGTGCCCCAAGGTGCTGGGTTAGTATTTATTTCTAATGAGAGCTGACCTTTCAGTTATCATCTTACAGGGTAAGATAATCACAGTATCTTCTTAATGATTTTACTTTCTACCTGTTTCCCTCAACTCTCCTAATTTGACCTGAAACATAACAATTATTACTGGTAAAATCACCTACCTGAGCCCAAGCTTCCTGGTGATATTTTTCCCAACAGAAATTATTCAAAAAACAAAGTCCTATTTTATCCAGAACATGCAAATTGACCAGAAAGCCCTCTCAGCCCCACGGTTTCTACAGCCTCCTCTTTCCCATAGGGTGACCACACCCACAGACAGCTTTCCTAAGAAATCTTTTCATTTTCAATTTTTATATTAAATCTCCACTGGATCCAATATGTGCAAATTCAAGAAACGTTATTCCAGGACACGCTAATCCAAAGGATTAAACCCAACGCTAACCCTCGAATGCAGTCATCCACCCATAGGACCAGGAAGGCCATTCAGAAGTCTATTAGAAGAGAGTCTGGGTTGGCAGTTTCCATGACACACCATAGGAGGGCCCCTAACTGAATTTTAAAAATGTACTGAGTTCACAGAAAAGGGAATTAAGTATAGCAGGGGTTCACTCCGGACATTAATCTCAGAAGCCAAATCCTTCATTTTGAGAAAGGCCTTCAATACAAGGAGTCCCTTGACCTTCGTTCTGCTTGCACAAATAGTTCTCCCAAAGCCTGCCCTGCTGAGAGGGAGGGAGCATGCATGTAAATTATAGGCCTTTAAAGGCTCAGTCAGGACCGAGAAATGGTTTTGTTATGGCAACAAGTGCTATTAATTCCTTTGTATCCCTTTAAGACTCACTCCCCACCTGATCTCCAGATTTCTTTTTATTTTATAATGGAAAACAGCCTCACATAAGAAGTTCAATCATTTAGCAATAATTTATCAGAAAAGAGTACGAACATAAAATTGCTAATATTTATTAAGTGCTTATTAGAGTATTTGCCAGACACTGTGTCACACACTTTACATGGATTAACTGTGTAATCCTTACAACACCACCATAAGATGCAGACTGTCAGGCTTGTTTTATAGAGGAAGAGACCAATGCCCAGAGCAGGCAAGTGACAATGCTGAAGTCCCATAACCTCGAAGTGGCAGAACTGGGGTTTAATACAGGCCATCTGGTTCCAGAGCCTGTGATCCTAACCATGACATTCCGGGGCCTCACAAAAGATCTATAATTCTATTATATACACATATGTATTTCTTCTACTAGTGATATCACTGGTGTCAAGAACAGTGTCTGGCACGT